AGCTGATTTATATTGCATCATTCTTAAGTCTAACTCCTTCATTTTAAGCTGATACTCCATGCGTGACTGCTCTATTTCAAACTCCATTTTTTTTTGCAATGTTTCAGCTTTAGTTTGTTTAACCTTTAATTCTTCTCTTTTAAAAGCTGATTCAGCTTCACGAACTTTTCTTTCGAATTCTTGTCGCTTATCAAACTGTTCATTTTCAAGAGCAAGCCTTTTTTCCTAAATCACTTGACATGTATTACCCATAGAAATAATAGCTTCAGCCAATGAATCCTGTGAAGAAGATTTTCGTTTTTTGGTAGCCTTGTCTTTTATTTCTGTCATCGGAGCTTCTTCATTAATTTCTTTCTCTTTACAACTGTCAAACAATTGAGTAGTATCAGAAAAATTATCTACCAAAAACCCTGGATTATGATTTTCGCGTGTTCCAAATAAGGCATCCAGTCTATCAAACTATTTCCATTTTGCTTGTACTTCTCTTCCTGTTTGGTTTTCCTTTTCCTTGATTTCATTATACTTAGTTGTAAGGCGAGATAATTTATTCTTTATCTGCTCCTATGACTTTCCTGGGAAAATCTTATTAGCAGCTGATTTAGCAAAGTTGGACTTGTTTTTTTTATAAGCAGCGAAATTATCCTCAAGAAAACCTAACAACAATCCTGTACTTTTATCATCCCAACCTGTTTCTTCTTCAGTAAGCCCTAGTTTTCGGTCGGTCTTCTTTTAAGAGCTCTTGCAATTGGCAAAGGTGTTACTTCTTAAATTTCAGGTAAGGTCTGTAGTAAAGCGACAGCAATGATATCAGGATTTTGTACAAATAGTTCTTGCGAATATCTTTGTAAAGATTCTCATGGAAGTTTTTGTAGAAGTCCTTGTGACACTTGTAGAGCTTGTGAAAGTTCTTGCAAAAGTTCTTGTGGAAGTTCTTATGGAGATTTTTGTGGAAAGTCTTGTAAAAGACCTTGTGGAATTTCTTGTGAAGGTGGTTTAGGAGCAATTGAACGAAAAGGGACTCTTGAGTTAGATATTGTAAAGGTTATAACTTTAACAAAAATTTTAGTTGGACGCGAAGACGTGTCTGTTGTAATAAAATCGTCAGAGGTGAACACCAATTTTTATAGATCGGATTGATTGATCACTGATCGTTTTTTTAGCCAATCATTTAGGGGCAAAATTTCCGATCTAAACAATCTGATCTAGAACTGAACAGGGCTAGTGAATGTATTGGTAAGATTTTAATTTATTTTTTAATTTATTTATTTATTTATTTTTTTAATTTATTTCTATCAATTTTTTTTAATGTTAATTAGTGGTTTTGTAATAAAAGATTAGTTAGAATTAATTTTTTTATTTAAATTTAATTAATTTTATTTTTAAATTTTTTTTTTGTATTTGTTTATTTGTTTATTTTTTAAGTTATATTATTTCAGGATTTGTACAGTGCGTGACACTTAAAGACTGAAATCACGTGATTTATCCTGATCCCAAAATTTTAAAAAATCACATGACTATTATAAGCCATGTCACGTGATCTATATAAATCACGTGGTAAATATAATTCATATTACGCGTTAAACAAAATTATAAATTCAATGATAAATTTCAATGATTAAGTTTAGTGTACAATTTATTGATTAGATTTAATTGATTAGGTTTAACCTATGATTTATTGTTTAATGTATTATTTATTAATAAATTTAATTGATTAAATAATGCATGATTTATTATTGATTAAGTTTAACACATGATTTATTATTGATTAAGTTTAACACATGATTTATTAATAAATTTGATTTAATGCATATATATTACAGAATTTATTAATTTTGTTACTCTTTTTCACAACTCTTTTCTTTTATAAATGCAGTTAAATTATCTTGTGGAATTCGCCTATATGATTTAAATTTTTTACATGCATATTTACTAACTTTTCAGTTAATCCTTTGCGATACAATTGCATGTATTTCTATGATTTTTGAGCGAACTTCCTAATTGTAGTAATATCCACTAAATCAAGTGCTTGCGGAACAGTTTCTTGCAAGCTACCCATGTGTAATTACAATTATTCCTTGTATAATACTTGGCCGCACCTTAGTACATTTTGATGAAATTAAGTTCGCAATGGAACTTCAGGTAGAAAACACATAAATAGCTTGCATTCTCAATTAATTCTACAATGGCTGACTTTTATGTTACAAAATCTGATTGAGATGCCATAATCTTTCTTGCATAACAATCAACTCTTAGAGATTCTTTTTTCTTACACATTGAACACTCTAAGCTTAATCCTTCCTTCCATAAACCTCTTTCTTGTAATACCCTTTTTATCCCTTTTGGTTTTTCTCACAAGGCAGGATCAGAATAATCTTCTGAAAATACCATTTGCTGAGTTATCTCTCGTCCATCTTTATCAATAAAAGTTGTTGACCTCATGATCGGTTGTTTTCCCCCAGGACCCAGATTCATCCTTGTTGCAACAAGAGCATCTTTAGCATATGCTGCATGGTTCGTACTATTGTCAAAGGCGAAAACAGCTGTTGCATTAGGAAATTTCACCTCAAAAATAGGAATCGCTTTGGATTTAATCTGCTCTAACAAATACTTAAAGGTCCAATAGCCTTCTTGATTCTTACCAGGTAAAAGATAACAACAAGCTTCTGTGGGAATATTTGGGTTTCTTGTTGCCTCTTCTTCACTAAGTTTCAACTGACTATAAGCTTCTGAAAGAAATTCGCTTACCATAATCAATTTTCCATTTCCCTTCTTTCGCAATGGCATTTCACCATCAGATATTCAAATTTTCTTTTTTCTATCATTTGTATAGAAAATACATTCATCATGAGTAATAAGAATTAACTCTCGTTCTTCTAGTCTGAGTACTAGTGGAATTGCATCCATTTCTTCTCCTTTATATCTTGCCATTCGTTGTTCCAATTCTTTCATTACTTCTAAAAATTCTTTTCGATATGTAACAATATCCTCCTATTCATGTCCATCATGATAAATACCCTTTCAATATCCTTCATATTTGTATTCTAATATATGCAACCATCTTTCGACGATTCTTATGCTAATTGTTTTCTGGATTCCTACACATTCAGGCAAAATAAAATCTTCAATATACTGCTTAAAATGAGCCACATCAATACCGTTTAAGCCCAATTCTTGTCGTAACTATTATCGCAAACTCAATGTAACATTTTAATCATCAACTAGTTATTCATACTTTTAATACTTACCACGGTATGAAACTGGAAACGATTTGTGATTCAAGTAAAATTTGGCCAAAGAACAAATCCATTTAGCGATATATAGCTTTAAAATAATATAAACCATCTGCGTTATTTTTTCACTAGCTTTCATTTTTCCATAGCCGTTATTTAGCTATGTAAAATATTTATAGACAGCACGCTGTCTGTTATATTTGAAAACTGTAAGCATTTCCATTGTTAAGAAGGTCATTTTGAAATTGTGCAATTCTTTCACAAAGTATCAAACTTTCATCTTTTTTTGACAGAGACCTAGGTAATGTAGGAAAAGGTGATGGTGATGGTGATAAAAAAAAAGATGGAGAAGGAGACAGAGAAGATGAAAAAGAAGATGGAGATGGAGATAAAGGTGGAGATGATGGAGATGGGAATGGAAATAAAACAGAACTGCCAGCAAATTCACTGATATACCTATTTGAAGATGTTGAAAATTTGGATAATACAAAAGAACCACTAACTGAACTACCGTTACCTAAAAACTAGTAATTTTAGGTGTTCTCTTAGAAGCATTGGCAAGTACACTGAAAGTACCAAACTTACGATAATAGGTTATTTTTAGTATTCCTTTTATTGTTCTTTTATTTTTTTCAGATTTGTTCTATATGAGTTTTGCAAGTAGACATATTTGCATCTCTTTCTCCTCTTCAATTTCCTCATTTTTCCTCTCAGTAAATACTGTGTCCTTTTCATTAGTCTCAGTTTCTTTCGTTTCATCAAAAGAGAGTCGTCTCCTCTTATTGTATTCTTGAAGTCAGATAATTTTTTTTTCTCTGTAGCATTTTTTAAAATGGAATAATATTTTTCCATTCCCGAATATCTGATGATACTGATTTTATTAACTAATAGAATTTTACGTGTGATTTGATTGGCCAATTTCAAATCACATGCTTGTTTCACTGAATGCTGATCATATGACATGAAGGCATTTTTAAATCGTTATAAGTCGGGAATGAGTAATTATTTTTAAAAAAGAAGGCTAGCAATTTGTAGTAAATAAATTTGGCTTCAAAATAACAGCTTTCTTTTTTATTATTATTTTTGTATCATTTTTTATAACTTTTTAAAAATCATCAAATTTATTGAAGTCTTTAAGTGTTGCGCACTGTAATAACAATTTTCTTAACAAAGTGGTAAGTGGGTTATTTTTTTTATTTTATTTATTTATTTATTTATTTTTCTTTATATTTATTATTAATTGTTTTTATAGAAATATTTGGGCGATTTTGCAGTAAAGGATCAGGTTTAATTTATTAATTTTTTTATTATTTATTTAAATTTAAATTTAATATTTAAATTTTTTTTTTGGTAGATTATTACTTACGCTTGTGGCTGCTATATATGTTAAATTGATATAATTTAATTTTTATTTTATTAATTTAATTAATTAATTTAATTTAATTTTTTTTTTTTTAAAATTGTAGTTTTTTTTAATAAATAAAATTGTTACACCAAAAAATTTGCAACTGTCGTTAAATGAATTTAATTTAATTTAAATTTTTTTTTATTTAATTAATTTAATTTAATTTAATTTAATTTAATTTTTTTTTTAGATTTCTTTTAAAATTAATTATTAGTAATGTTTATAGTAAGTGTAATTTTTATTTATTTTTTTTGTAGTTTTTTTTGATAAATAAGATTATTATTACACCAAAATTGGCAGTTGCGATAAGTGAGTGAATTTAATTTAATTTTAAATTTTTTTTATATTTAATTTAATTTATTTAATTTAACTTTTAGATTTCTTTTAAAATTGATTATTTGTAGCATCTATAATAAGTGGGTTTAATTTAATATTTTAATTATTTAATTAATTATTTTTTTTTAATTTTATTTTTTTTATAGCTTTTTTGATAAATAAGAATATTACTGTGTCAAAAATTAATTGGCAGCTGTGATATGTGAATTAATTTAATTTATTTTATTTTTTTTGAATTTTTTAATAATAGTTAGTATTTAAATAAGTTTAATTTAATTAATTTAAATAAATATTTTAATTAATTAATTAATTTAATTATTTTTTTTAGCTTTTTTTTTTATTTTTTTTTTGGTAAATTAAATTATTATTTATAGCTATAGCAAATATTGACAGCTACTGTAAGTAGATTTAATTTAATTTAATTTGTATTTTTTATTATTTTTAAATTTAAATTTTTTTTTTAGATTTCTTTAATAATAATTGGTATTTGCAATAAGTGGATTTAATTTAATTAATTTAAATAAATGTTTTGATTAATTTAATTAATTAAATTTTTTTATTTTTTAGCTTTTTTTTTTAATAAATTATTTAAAGCTGTGATAAATAATTATAGTTATAATAAGTAGGTTTAATTAAAATTAATTTTTTGCTTATTTTTTTAATTTAATTTTATATAATTTATATTTT